TCGCAGGGCCTCTCTTAGGGGAACGAAGAAGGACATCAACATAAAAACTCGGAGGTCCGCGCGGATTTCTCCGATCCGCGCTGTTAGACCCCTGGAGGCGCCTCCGGCGCCGCCCCTGGCGCGCTCAGCGCGCCAGGGAAGGAGGTCCAGCGCCGATCCGAGGACTCTGCGCCGACCTCCGAGTTGTTGTGCTTCTGTTCTTCTTCGTTTCCCTATCTTTGAGATCGGCCACGGCCTCCTCCCTGGGTTCCAGGCTCCTCGCACCCAACGCATCGTAGTCCTCCGCCATCTCCCTGCGCTCCGCGGGCGTAGGAGCCAGCACGTAGCGAGCGGCCGCTGGGGCCATCATCTGGGAAGCGGCTCCCACGCAGTCGTCCTTAATTGCCTCGCGCAACCTCGAAGAGCTGAAAGCCCACACGTCTCCTGGGATGGGATCGGCCACGAAGACGAGCCTGCTAGGCACCTCGAGGCGCGGTTCCTCGTCCCCCCTCGGCACGACGACCACGCCGAGCTCCTGGTTGGGCAGGACGCCCGAGTAGAGCTTGCTCTTCTCAGCCGCGTCCGTGCCGCAGACGAAAAACACACGCACCAGCTGGCCCCCGAGCGAGGCACAGAAGCGATCCGACAAGTACTGCTGCAGCTCATGGCACAGATCCTGGGCGGTGGTCGCCCCGCCAGGCTCGCGCGGCTCCTCCGACCGCACGGCCACGAGCTCGTCGGCACAAGCCGACAGCTCGGCCACCTTTTTGAGCAGGGACGGACCATCTGGTATGCGAGCAGGGCTAACATGGCATGGTGTTAAGACATGAGTGCGGATTCAAGCATGACCACAGGATCAACCCCACCTTTGGGTTCCAGAGGACCTGCGTGTGCTGCCGAATGAAACGAATGTTGCCAGTGCGGGTCCCAGACTGCACCATGTTGCACACTCGAGGTGCAAGCCGCATCGCCACTCTGCGGTGCAGTCTGCGCGGTGCAGTCCACCCTGCAGAACTCGAAATCGTCAATTCCACTGTTCGCGCAATTAACGCACCCTCCTCCTCCTCCTCCTCCTCCTACGCCTCCTCCTCCTCCTCCGCCTCCTCCTCCTCCGCCTCCTCCTCCTCCTCCCTCAAGCCACGGCGGCTCGAGGTCACTTGCCTCGCGCGCCGCCGTCCCCGCGCTTAATGGCCCAGTTGGCGCGTTCCAGCGGCTCTGGTCAGGCTTCCTGCTGAAGAAGGAGCTCTGGCTCGACGCGCAGTGCCTGCGGCTTGAGGTCGCCGACAATTGGCGCAAAGCGGGGTAGGACAAAAACATCCAGATGGCCTCGCAGTCGCCCTACCTCACCATGGAGGGTCCAGCAGGAGCGAAGATCGGGGTGCACTCGATCCTCCTAGGCGAGGTTGCGCTGCGGCTCTTCTTCGTCCAGCCCTTCGGCGATGGCCACGCCATCAACGACCAGCAGCCTTGGCGACGTCAACATCATCGACAACATGAAGGCCAAAGTCCAGGAGCCCCACCGTGATGGCGTACGCACCATCGACTACGTGAAGACTGTGATCGAAGAGGCCCTCAAGGGCGATGGCACCACCATCGACAACGAAAAGGCGATGGTCCAGGCGCCCACCGGCGATGGCATCACCATCGACTACGTAAAGGCAAAGATCCAGGAGTCCACCTTCGGCGATGGCTCACGCACCATCGACGACCTGAAAGCTAAGATCCAGGAGACCCCTGTCGGCGTGGAGGTAGACACCGTCGTGGCCGAGGCCGTCAGGCAGTGGAACAGGAAGCAGCACCCCGCCCTGGCTGGCAGCAGCATCAACGACTACATCGACGAGGTCAGAGAGCTCGTCGGCACGATCGCACCGCCGGAGGCCGAGTGGACCTTCGAGAGCCCCAGCCTGCGCCAAGCCTGCCGGTCCATGGTGGGCACTGCGGCAGGGCCGGCCCAGATCCCAGCGGCCCTGCTGGCGCGGGCGCCGCGAGTCGCCCTCGAGCTGCTGGGGCGCATTGGCGATCTCATCCGTGACGCAGGGAGGTGGCCGAGCGCTCTGAGGAGCCAGGAGGTGGCCATGATCCCCACGCCTTCTGGGGAGGGCCTTCGCCCGATTGGGGTCGCGCAGACAGTCGCCAGGGCCTTCAAGAAGATTATGGTTTAGAAGTACAAGCGCTGGGCCGAGCAGGCGCAGCCCACCAACGCCACCGCTGCCGTGCTTCTCGTCGATTTCGCCATCGACAAGGCCTACGAGGACGACACCGGCCTCGTGGTCCGGCAGAGCGACCGAGCTCGTCGTGCAGGTGGCCGGTTTCTTCGGCATGCATGACAAGGACGCCGTGTTCTTGTTCTCGGACAATAGTGCCCGCGACACTGTCGTCTAGGTTGCGGGATACGCCAGCGACTCCATGGTCCCAGAGCGTGGCCTCGCGCAGGGTGACCCAGGTTCGCCGCTCGGGGCTGCCATCCTTGCCGGGCCGCACGCCAGGCGATTCGCCGCGGACCACGACATCATGTTCACCACGTACGTGGACGACAGGACCATGATTGCCGACACCCCGCAGGATGTGGAGTCGGCCGCCGACGCGCTCGCCTACCTCGACTGGCTCAGCGGGCAGGAGGACCCTGGTAAGTTGGCAGTGGCCGCCGCCAACGTCCAGGGCGGCAACTACCAGAGCTACGTGGACGTTCTCGGCGTCGGTCTGGACCTCTCTGGGGCGAACCCTCCAGAGACTGCCCCGCGGGCCCTGCGCCGGGCCCAGGAGCTGCTCGCGCGGCTCACGAAGATCAAGCGAGTCAGCCGGGCGGCTCGCCTGCCACGGCGCCGGGTGCGGCAGGTCGTCCTGGCCAACGCGTTGGCATCTTGCGCTGGGATGCGCCGTGGTGCGTCCTGCCCGAGAAGACCCTCCGGGCCCTGCGGGCAGCCCTGGAGACAGCCCTCGCGGGGCGGCGCCGGTACGCCTCCAGGAGACACCGAGGGGCCGCTTGGAACGTATCTCCCAAAGCGTGGAAGATCGAGCCCATGGGCGGCGGCCGCGGGCATGCTCAAACGCACCCTTGGCGGCCCTCCGGAGGCCTTCGTCCGCCAGCGGTGGAGGTCGGCCCAGCCAGCAGCTCGCCCGTCTGCTGGGTGGCTGCTGCGGACCCGCGAGCTCTTGGACTCCATGGGCTGGCGCACGGCCAGTGACCCATTCGAGGTGGAGATCGGCGACCTGACCTTCTCCCTCACGAACACGACCCGCAGTGGGCTCGACCACATGGTGCGGGAGGCCTGGCGCTCGTGGATGATGAAGGCCGGCGAGGCGAAAGGCAGCAGGCAGGACGTGGTCAACATCCCCGGCCTCGATGGGAAGGTGCTCCGGGATCTCCTGGACAGCTACGACAACGGCCCAGATCACAGCTGGGCCTGGCGGTGCGTCGTCGGGGGCGAGCCCAGCCCAGACCGCCTCCACCACGTCGACAACGCTGTGGCCCAGGACTGCGCCGCGTGCCGCACCAGGGCCACCACGAGACACATCCTCCGGCAGTGCCCTGCCACCGAAGCAGTCACACACAGTCGTGGCCTACGTCTGCCGGAGCTCGCCCCAGAGCTCCCCGAGCCTGAGCGTTCAGCCCTTCTGCTGAATGGGTGGATCCGCGCAGCGTGGGACGTCCCCACCGGCGTGTCCAGCGACATTCACGCTGCTGCCACCAGGCGGCCGCGCCAGCTTGCCAAGCGCATTCTCGCATACAAGTTCGTGGTCCTTCGTCCACATTACGATCGTTTTCTCGCCGCCGTTTCTGGTGAGGCCTAAGGTGTGCTCTGGTGGGGTGTAAGACCGTGCTTCGCACCGACATCTTGCCTCACCCTCCACACCTGCTAGGCTCACACACCGACCACCATGACAACGCGTCCTCGCCGTGTGGTTGGGCTCCGATGCTTCGGCATTGAAGCGCTAGAGGTTGTCTTGGCAAATGATTTCCTGCTCCCAGCCAGGAGCACCGCATGAATTCGACAGTATTTCTACACGAACAACACGTACCTGCAAGTTTTCACAAAGTATGCCTGCTGGACTTGGGCCAGTTCTAGATGGCAGCGGCAATGACCGCACGGACAGCAGCCGGCCCTGGGCTGGACTGTACCTCTCTTCTTCCTGGCCCGACGGATGTCCAGAGCGGCATGGCTTTCTCCAGGGACCGTCCTGGCTCCGCCGGCGGGGCGCACACACCGCCTTTCACGAGGTGCCCTGGGAAGGCCGGCGTCCGCGGATTCACCTTCCCCGGCCAGCCGGCTTGGGCAAGACTTGAGACAAGGCGTGATCTTCCTCAATTTCGCGTTCTTCATCTGGGGCGCCATCCGGCGCTCCTCTCGGACATTGACCGTTCGGCGTCCGTTGGTTGGAGTATTCTGCCCGGCTGAACGGGGCATGGCTTCCGGGGATGCGTGTTCTTCCACTTTTACGTCTTCTCCTCGCTCCTCGACGCCGTCTGCGTGCAGTCGGCGTTACTCTCGGACAGTGGCCGTTCGGCGCCGGTCGGACGGGACAGGACTTCGTGGCGTGGTGTTCTACATTACGCCCTTGTCTCCGCGATCCTCGTCGACTTCTGCGTGCAGCTGGTGTTGCTCAAAGTAATTTCGGCGACCTTCCAATCGCTCGAACTTGCACGCTCAGCCTCCGGCCACCTGTGCTGGTAGAATCGGACAGGGCGGAGTTCCATCGAGCTCGTCTGCCCTTTTTGTTTTTTGTTGTTTGGGGTGTAAGACCGTGTTTCGCACCGACATCTTGCCTCATCTACACACCTACTAAGCTCACACACCGACCACCATGACAACGCGTCCTCGCCGTGTGGTTGGGCTTCGATGCTTCGGCATTGAAGCGCTAGAGGTTGTCTTGGCAAAGTATTTCCTGCTCCCAGCCGGGAGCACCGCAAGAATTCGACAGTATTTCTACACGAACAACACGTACCTGCAGGTTTTCACAAAGTATGCCTGCCAGACTCGGGCCATTTCTAGATGGCAGCGGCAATGACCGCACGGACAGCAGCCGGCCCTGGGCTGGACTCTACCTCTCTTCTTCCTGGCCCGACGGATGTCCAGGGCGGCGTGGCTTTCTCCAGGGACCGTCCTGGCTCCGCCGGCGGGGCGCACACACCGCCTTTCACGAGGTGCCCTGGGAAGGCTGGCCGGCGTCCGCGGGATTCACCTTCCCCGGCCGGCCGGCTTGGGCAAGACTCGAGACAAGGCGTGATCTTCCTCAATTTCGCGTTCTTCATCTGGGGCGCCATCCGGCGCTCCTCTCGGACATTGACCGTTCGGCGTCCGTTGGTTGGAGTATTCTGCCCGGCTGAACGGGGCATGGCTTCCGGGGAGGCGTGTTCTTCCAATTCTACGTCCTCTTCTCTTCGCTCCTCGACGCCGTCTGCGTGCAGTCGGCGTTACTCTCGGACAGTGGCCGTTCGGCGCCGGTCGAACGGGACAGGACTTCGTGGCGTGGTGTTCTACATTACGCCCTTGTCTCCGCGATCCTCGTCGCCTTCTGCGTGCAGTTGGCGCTGCTCAAAGAAATTTCGGCGACCTTCCAGTCGCTCGCACTTGCACGCTCAGCCTCCGGCCACCTGTGCCGGTAGAGTCGGACAGGGCGGAGTTCCATCGAGCTCGTCTGCCCTTTTTGTTTTTTGTTGTCTGGGGTGTAAGACCGTGCTTCGCACCGACATCTTGCCTCATCTACACACCTATCAAGCTCACACACCATCGACAACGTAAAGGCTAAGATCCAGGAGTCTCCCGGGAATGGATCACACACCATCGACAACGTGAAGGCTAAGATCCAGGAGTCTGCCTTCGGCGATGGGCCTACCACCATCGACGCCGTGAAGGCAAAGATCCAGGAGTTCATCGACGCCCAGCTGGAGCGTAGCAATCAGGCGCAGGAGACCTTCGACATTGCGGCCGATATCCTGGTCATCAAATCGGACCCCGAGCTTGCCCAAAAGCTTCACGATGTTTTTGGCCGCGATATCCTCGAGCGCTTCTCCGAGGAGATCGCCGCGAACCCTGCCGTCGCGGACAGCATCCTTTTCAGTCACCCGTAGCTACTTCCCAGCCCTCCTGAAGACGAAGGCCAGTGGCGAGTAGAAGATGCAGCTGGCCCTGCCGCTCCAGCACTTCGCACTTCTTCATCGCAGGTCGAGGCTTCCGAAAGGTCTCTGTTTCGGAGGCCTCTAGGTTCTGAGGCGGGCCCGCCGCCGGCGGCCAGTGGCCTGCTCTAGTCATCGAGCCACTTTCTAGCTTACGAGGGTAGGCCAGCACCGAACCAAGCGCAAACCAAAATCCTCCTCCTCCTCCTCCTCCTCCTCCTCCGCCTCCTCCTCCTCCTCCTCCTCATCCCCACCATGATCTGTGCGGTTCCTCGGCACAGCCCACACAACCCACTCAGCCGCGAGTAAGGCGACTACTTGGCACTCGCTGGCGCGCCCCTGCGGCTGCGCCAGCGCGCGCGAGCTCGCGCGCAAAGCGGCCAGCTGGCTTGGCACAGTTGATGCGGCCGCGATGGCGCTTACCGACGGGAGCCCCTCAGCGCGTCTCATAGGCCGCGCTGGCGCGCGGGCATCCCAGTGCGGGTCGGTGACTCGGGCGGGCGCGGTTTCATGATGACGTCGACAACGGCGGCACCAGTGCTGACAGTACCGACCGTGGTGGTGGTGATGACGATGACAACAGCAATGCCAATGACGGCGCGGATGCTGCTCGTGACGACGATGACGATGATGAAGTCCATGTATCGGTGGTGACGATGATTGCCTGATGGTGGCGGTGATTGCGGCGCTTAACGATGACGACGAAAGCGGTGATGCGTTGGCGCTGATGAGGGTGATGGTGAAGTGAAGGTACGTTCTCATATGCTTCAAGAAATGTATCTTGAAATGCTTCGGAAACCACTTGTTTTGGAGAGATTTCGGCACGCTCGCGTGGCGGCGCCCGCATGTGGCCACATAACACTTTTCAGACGGATTCGCGCACTGGGGCGCAGGCATGGTCAACGCGGATGCACCGCGTGGTGAGATGAGAATGCGGGGTCTGGACGGCGTTGCTAAACTCAGATGGTGTCCCATGAGTTCAACAGAACCGCACGGGCAGAACATCTGCAATGTTGATGCAACACCTCAAAGTGTATCGGGATTAAGTTGAAAATCTTTGAACACACGTGCGTGCTGGTACGATTGTGACATGTGAGCACGCGGGTGGACGTCGTGTGTCTTTTCCACAAGGCTTTGTGAAAACATATACTTTGAAATCAACGACTGTGGCCGCATAGTGCCATTTGACAAAGATGAGGGGGGGGGACCCGGCTGGCTGGGATGGTACGAATTCAGATGGACAATGAGCGATGAGGCAGAGCCATGTGCAAATTGTAGTGCCCCAAGGGGGCTTCATAATTCGGGGGGGGGGTGGGCGGTGGGGGAGTCAGTTCTTTCTTTTGGAAGAGGACTTGATTTCGATGCACTCCGCGCGTGACCACCTCCAATGCTCGTGCAAACATCCGACCTGCCACCCGCAACTTGCCAGCAAAACTCAACTAGACGGCGACAACAACGATGACAAAGATGATGTTCATGTCAAAAAGGGGGGGGGGGGGGGGCGATGCTGATGGTGATGAAGCTGATGGTGATGACGATGGCAGTGGCAAAGATGACGCTTGCGGAGATGATGAAAGACATGTGACGAGGGCGACGATATCCACGATGACGATGATGACGGCGGTGGTGATGATAACGATGACAATGGTAATGATGACGATGCCGATGCCGATGGCACAAATGAAGCTGGCGATGATGATAACGTTGGTGCTGACGAGGGTGAATAGGAAGTGCGCGTTCGCAGAAACTCATGCCCACCAAATGTACGTTGAAACGACACTGGGTTCGCGTATGGATTTGAACACCTCTGCGATGCGATGCTTAGAACGCCAATTCTGTGTGTATGGAGTTAGTTCGACATGCGAGCGCGGAGACGCGCGCGTGGGGTCCGCATGGCAGTGTCTGACAGAGCTGGCCTGCGAACAATGGTCGTTCAAAGTGTTGGACGTGCGGGCGTGTGTTGGCCCGCATGCTACCTGTGGCAAAGCGGAACGGATGGATTGCAGATGACGTCAACCAGCTTGCGAGCGCAGAATTAAGGAAACTGCATGGAAGAAAAGCAATTGGTTGTTGATAGCGATTGGTATTCTATTTCTTGATACGTCTTAGACAAAATGAGTTTGAAGTACGGTATTCGGCCTGACCTAAGGAACGATAAATAAGGAACGAAACCCTTTTTTCCAAGTAAGTCTAGGAAGTCCGAAGGAACACCAGGGGGGCTCGCCACCAAAAAGGTAGCGGAACACATGCAAACCAAAGGAACGACCGAGCCCCTTTTGAAAAGTAAGTGTTGCTTGTTCAAGTCGGACCCTGTATGCGACATGGTTCTGACATGCGCGCGCATGTGCCCTGCATGGTGCTAGTCGGAATAGATTGGTACCCGGCGCATGTCTCAGACCAACGCATGAGCACCGCACGGCCACCTCGCGCATGGGATGGATGACCAAAGGGTGCGGTAACCATTGGTGGGGAAACCCAGGAATTATCAACCCTGCTATTCCCGGGACCTCTCCTGGGGTGCGTGCAGACCAGAATTTCCAGGCGACCAACAAGGCGAAAACGAGGCAAGGGTAGAGGCACCGGCACCTTTTTCTCATCTGATCTGGTATAGTGAATGGTCTTGCAGATAAGTATGCGAACAATACCCCGAGATCGGTACCGCCAACAGCGACCTTGATGGGGGAGTGTCTGATCTTTCCTGTATGAAGATGAAACGATGAGGAGCGAATGGTATGGTGCAAGCAACGTGGCTCAAGCTGTGTGGCGCAAGCTCTGTGGTGCAAGCTGTGTGGTGCAACCTCTGCGGTGCACGCCACGTGGTGTAAGCCAAGCTTAGTGATGGAAGCTACGGCGCACAGGCGGGAATGGGCGGCAACGTGGCGAAACCTCTGTGCACCCATCAGTTTGTTCGAAGAACAAAAGTATGAGCCGCTGCGTGCAAGCACTCTTTAGAAGAAAACACCCTGGGAATCAACAAGCGCTGTGGTAGACGCAGTGTATATTTAGCAGACGCTGCTGTGCAATATTACGATTCGGATTATGCAAGCAAGCTCTGATGTGCCTCTTGGACCGTACATTGTGGATTGACTGGACTGTATAAACTACAATGGCAGAGCCAAGCACTCTCGGCCGTGCAACGTGGACAACAGGCTGGCCCTGAACAGCATGACGGTCGAGAGGACGCAAAACTGGAGCTGGAGTTGGTGCTGGAGCTGAGCTGGAAAACCCGAGCTGTAGTTTGGCAAATGCTTGGCTGCAGCTGGACTTGAACTTGGACCTAAGCCTGGAGCTGGGGCTTGGGCTAGCTGCACTGGAACGGGGCAGGGGCTGGAGCGGGAGCTGAGCTGGAACAGAAGCTGGGCTGGAGCTGGAGCTCGAGCTGGGCAGGAGCTCAGCGGGAGTTGGATCTTGAGAGGGACCTGGACCTGAAGCTGCGGCTCAAGCTGGAGCTGAAGCTGGAGCTGCAGCGAAGCTGGAGCTGGAGCAAGGACTGAAGCGGAGCCGGAGCTATGCTCGAGCTGAAGCTAGAGCTCGAGCTGGGCAGGGGCTGGGATTAGAGCAGGACCTTGAGTTGGGATAGAACTGGGCTTGGGCTCGAGCTGGAGCTGGAGATTCAGCTGCAGCTGGAGCTGGAAGTGGGCTCGGCGCTGGTCCTGGGCTGGAGCTATAACTGGAGCTGGACCTGGAGGTGGGGCTGAGGCTGGAGCTGGGGCAGGAGCTGGGGCCAGGGCTGGAGCTGGGGCGAAGGTGGAGTTGGGGCTAGATCTGGAGCTGGGGCTATAGCAAGGGCTGGAGCTAGAGCTGGGCAGAGGCTGAAGCTGGGCTGGATCTGAGTTAGAGCTGGACTGGAAGTGGGGTTGGAGCTGGAGCTGGAGCTGGAGCTGGACCTTGAGCTGGACCTTGAGCTGGGACTCGAGCTGGACCTAGGGCTCGGGTTGGAGCTGGAGTTTGGGCCCGAGCGAAGTTGTAGCTGGAGCTGGAAGCTGGAGCTTGGTCGGAGCTGTAGAATTAGCTTGGTCGGATCTGGAGCTGGATAAGGACCGTGAAGGTTGGGCTCCAGACACTCAAAATCAGGACCATTGGGCCATGAACTTAAGGTCTGGCAACATGACCGGCTCCAAACGCTGGAAGGTTGCCTCCGTACGGTCAAACCCAAGCCCAGAAATGGAGATCTGGCAACACAATGAGCACCGAATGCTGGCATATTGGCTTCTGCAGCAAGTCAGAATCATGCCCAAGCGTGCATTTTAAACCACACGAAAAGCTGACCGGCCATGAGGGTTGTGCCCAGATGGTCACAATCAGCCCCAGGAGTGGAAGTTTTAGCAACACGATGAATGGCACCTCTGGATTGTTGCATCTAGATGATCAGAAAAGATTAAATCCAGAAGTTGAGTTCTGGCAGCAGGATTATGTGACTGGCTGTAACAGGTGTACCCGAATGACCAACGATCGACATCAAGCCCTGGAGTGGACCCCTGGCAGAACCCAGAGTCTGGCCCCCATCCACTGGCCCAGCCCCATCCTTGTTGAGCAAGCAATATGAACCCTCTAGTGGCAAGCCTAGCCAGGCAATCAGATTGCCAGAACGACCAACCGACGCCTTAGAATCTACCTTCCCCCATGTTCTCAGAACGTCGAGTAAAGGCCGCAGCAGCTTCCAAGAGCTTTGCTCGGCAGGCCAGCCAGCAGACTGTGATGCTTCGTCGCTGCTCGAACCTTGTGCCGGAACGCCCAGCTGAGCTGCACGCTGCCGGTCGCCTGCGCCTCCCTGCCTGCTGCGGCCGCGCCGGCAGGCGCGAGCCACGCCCCGACGACGGCGTAGCCGCAGCGCTCCAGCCGGGCCTTCGCCTCCCACATCATCAGCAGGTGCCCCCGGTGCGCAGGGCTCATCGCGCCGGTCGCCACTAGCACCGCGGGGTACTTGCTGTCTGGGGCCGTCGCCAGGCGCTGCATCAGCTTCTCGCACGGCCAGGCGCCCTCCGGAGACGGCTTCAGCCTGTCGAAGTCTCCTGCAAACCTGGTCTGTTCTTCCAGGGAGGGCTCCAGCAGAAACTGCGCGAGGCTCTTGGTGGTAGACCGGAGAACGTAGGCGCGGTCCCCAGCGTTCATCGCCGCCCGCAGCTCGCAGTCGCTGAGCAGAGTCAGGCGGTCCAGCGGCGGATCGGTGGCATAGACCAGCGAATTTGGCCTCTCCAGGACCTCGTCGTCCAGCCTTGGCACCACAACGAGGCCTTGCAGCTCGCCGGTGGGGATCTTCTTGTTCGGGAGCGGCCAAGAGGGGGGCGTCCAAGAGGGGGGGGTGCAAATCATGGCCGGCGGCATGTGCGCGGCCAAAGGGGGGGCCAGGGACGCAATGAAATAAGATGAGGCGCCATGAAATGTGGGGAAATATCATGGCCCACGCCATAATATCCACCCACCCCCCTAGTCATCACCCCACTCTTTGCCGTCCCCGACTGGTACTGCTTCACCTCGTCCCCAGGGCACACGACAAAGATGCGCACCATCGCCACCCAGGACGCACCTCAAGGGGCCCAAAGACACACAAATAACTATACGCAAATCCCAGGATTCCAATTTTTTCCTGTATTTTCTGGATGTTCGTCTTCCCCCCACTTCCCATATTTCCCACATTTTCCTGGGGGTCGACGATTAATTGTGTCTGTGTGTTTATTTCTCCCTCCTGAGCACCCTGGAACTCTGCGCTCAGCGAGGCGCGCAGGGCGGCAACGACGTCTCCCGGGGCCGCCGCGCGGTCCAGCGAGGCCTCCCAGAGCGCCGTGTCCACGAGCTCGTCGCCCTCACAGGCGAGGGCTGCAGCGCGCAGGCGGAAGGCCCTGCTCAGGGGCTCGTGCCCAGCAAGGGGAGCCTGCGCGCTGCTCGCCGGGGAGAGCCAGCCGGCGAGCACCTCGTAGCCCGCGCGCGCCAGCCGCGCCTCCGCCTGCCGCAGCATCTGCACGTGGCCCAGGTGCGCCGGCCCCAGCTGCCCCAGGAGCAGGACCACCGCAGGAGACGCGTGGGTGGCGCTCTGCGCTGCCCGCCCCAGGTTGTCTTTGAACTTCTCGAGGGGCCACATCTCTCCCCTCCACTGCAGTGAGCACCGTGTGACTTGCAACAGTTGCGAGGCGGCTGCAGCCCACCTGCAAGGCACCCGCAAGTGGGTTGCAAGTCCGCCTGGCGGCTCCAAGCCGGGTCCACGACTCACTCATACGTGCAGCACTCGGGCGGACTTGCAACCCACTTGCAGGCGCCTTGCAAGTGGATTGGCAACCACCTTGCAACTGTTGCTGTTGCAAATCGAACCGACCACTTCACCACAGCGCTCGACGCCCCCACCCGCACGTCCTGGCGGGCAGACTTGGGCGAGGAAGGCTCGCGCAGGAGCCGCCTTGAGCCTCACTTG